AGAGTGCTCCACAAACTACGCACATCCAAGACATCGCTGATCCTGATCACACCCTTATGGAGAAGCCAGGCATGGTTCCCCGACTTGCTCGCACGACCACCCGCTGGTCTTACCGACGTTCCCCACGCTCCTTACGAATCCGGATGCGGAACCTCATCCTCTCATACTTCAAGAACGTCTAGAGTTGGTAGCCTGGATGCTTTCAGGGGATCTTGGGCAATCCCAGGCTTATCGCAAACGGCTAAGGACCTCCTTTGGGACTCTTGGGCACCAGGGACTAGACGTAACTACATGGCAGCATGGAATGTATGGGACCGCTGGTGTTTGGGAAGGAGCCTTGATCCCTTTACAGCACCTGTATCAGCCATACTGAATTTTCTTTCCACTTTGTTTTCCAACGGGAAATCATACCGATCCATTAACGTTACACGATCCGCTATATCGGCGGCTCATGTTCCAGTTAACGGGAATCCAGTGGGTCAGGAAGCCTTAATATGTCGAATATTACGAGGGATCAAATTGGCTAGACCACCGACACCAAGGTATCGCCAACTGTGGGATGTGGACGTGGTCATTCGTTTCATTCAGAACTGGCCGGATAACGCTGCCCTATCACTCAGACAATTAGCAGCCAAACTTACCTTGTTGTTGTGCTTAGTCTCTTTCCGACGGGTATCGGATGTTCGGGCTTTCGACGTGGACGGATTTACGATAACGCCCGTCGGTGTTACGTTTTTGATATCCCGAAGGACTAAGACGGACTCCAAATCCGTGTCCTACCCGTTTTTTCCGGCGGTTCCTCGTCTTTGTGTCGTCTCCACCTTACTCCGTTACGTGGAGGTTACGGCGCCTCTTCGGGCTACCGGATCGGGACAACTGTTAATCTCGTATACCAGACCATACAAACCAGTGACCACTACTACGTTAGCTAGATGGATACGATGGCTGCTGTCACTAGCCGGGATAGATGCTAGTTTCGGGGCCCATTCGGTTCGAGGGGCGGCGGCTTCTAAGGCCTTCTCGGCGGGTGCCTCCCTTGCGGACATTCTACGTACGGCGGATTGGACCAGAGAGAATACCTTTAGGGTGTTTTACTTTCGCCAATCATCACACGCGTCCTTAGCGTTTTTACCCCAGCGTTAAAAATGCAAAATAGGAAGCCTCCTGTCATGTAATAAAATTGTAGATTATGCTAGCGTAGTGTACAGATAATCTTAATTTTAATAATGACAGGAGGCGAGGATTCACACACTATTTCAGTTAGCTATGGGTAAAAACTGGGATAAGGGACGCTTAAACCAGATGTCATTTGCTAATTAGTTCAGTTTTCTTTTCTGATTGATTGACTTGTGCTGCTGGAGGCATAAAGTAAAGAAAGTTTATGCAAAATACTCGCCTCCTGTCATTATTAAAATTAAGATTATCTGTACACTACGCTAGCATAATCTACAATTGTGCTACTAAGAAAGGGAATGTTACAATGTATACAAAAAAATAATCCTCTTATGTTTTTTTCTTTGATCTGTTATCCTGGTGCCTTATTTTTGAACTGCACATCAGAAATTATCGATAAATAATATGAAAAAGCCAAGTTGTACGGGGTTTAATTAACAGTTTTCATTATACTCTAGGTAATTTACATTTGGCTTTTTTTTTAACAGGGACGATCATCAGCAAATGTGAGATGGGAGGTGTTAGCAATAATGATTTGAACATTTAGCACGTAAAAGGGATATTATCACCTTATTAAAGCTTGTGTGAAATAAATCCTGGATGTGTAGAAACTAACTGCAGAATGTTCCAGCCGTGGAGTCAGTATATTGAGTATTATTAGATAGACGGATAGACAGAGATGTAAGGGTTACCTACCTTTTATAGATTACTGCAGAATATCACCATGAGAACTCACTAATAGATTGTAATAGTTACCAATAATTACAGGCAACTGCCAACATTTTTCTGTAGAATCCAAAAATGAGAATCTCACTAGTAGATTATAGCTGTTTCTTTTTTACAACTTACTCCAGAATCCCACTCAGAGACTCCACTGGAATTTGTCACTATTTCCTATTAATATTTTCATCTACTGTTAAAAAAAAAAAAAAAAATATTATGCCTTTCTAAAAGGAAGGAATGAAGGAAGGAAGGAGAGAAGGACAGACAGACAAGATGCTAGATGGTTAATTAAATTGTTAACTTAAAAAATCACTGCAAAATATGTATTTCAATGTCCTGACATAGTTATACCTTTATGTTCTATAATAAAAATCTGTCCACAGTGACTGACTTTGATTTCTAATGACAGAAAGATTCGCAAACATCTCCTTTTTTTGCCAGGAAGGTCACATATATCTTTGGATATCAATGTCCCCTACTTTTGGATTAAGACACAGAGAGATTCATATGTAGGGTGTCAAATAAGTGCTCATTCATCTCTGTAATATTTTATATTGCCTAAACCACAAGCTGTGGCCTGTAACAGAACATCTACATTAACAGCACCATTAATCACTCTAGCCAAGATTGGATAGCAGTTGAACATAAATGGAACACCTCTGTTAAAGCTACATTAAAAGAATGCTGTGCTTTTGTGGGGGGGGGGGGGTTCAGATATACAGTTCTTTTGTATATTCACAACTAATTCTTTTCTACATTAAAAGTCACACGTTATCTCAATGAAATTAGTATTGTAGCCAGGAAGGCTTGTAACACTGTATCTGAATGTCAATTCAATGGGAAAGGAAAAGACAGGACTTACTGAGTGCCACTCTGTCATTTTCCCCTCCAATCCCATCAACAGATTTGCTCTGAAGAGGTGACGTTTTTTTGTTTTGTGATGTGGCTAGCGCAAGTCTGTTAACGTGCTATCTGGTGAATGCTAATATAACAGATGCACTCGTAACAAACTAAACTGTGACAGAGGCTAAAACATCTCTGCTACAGGTAATAAACGTTACTACTTAAATAAATATATTCTAGTTGGTTTTCCTCTTAGGAAGCAATAGTGGCAATAGTAGCAACAGGGACAGCCCCCCACCCATTTTCTTGCAATAAAAAAATTATTGGCAGTCATAACAATTGCTGATTTTTTTTTTCTTAAAGTGTCAACTTACATGAATGTCAACATACCCCGAAAATAAATGTGTCTTCCTAGAACATGTGTGTTTGACTCTATCTTTACTGGATACAGTCCTGCTGTTTCCTCTCCCTCCTGCTTGATAACTATCTGGAGAAATATAGAAACATAGAATGTGACGGCAGAAAAAAAACGTTTGGACCATCTAGTCTGCCCAATTTTCTAAATACTGCTGTCGAGAACAGATGGGTATTTTAAAATCTTGGGGCAATTGGGAAATACACCTACGTTTCCTATGTTTCTACAGGTTCATGGAGTTAAACAGGGTATGACATCACATTGGGTAGAAAGGAGAAAGGAGGGGGAGTCAGAATCTAGCGCCTCACCATGTTTAACCTTTACCAAGCATTAGTGTTTACAAATATAAAGAAGTCTCTGCAAACTATGTTCTGTCATATTAGCTATATTTCAACTAAAAATTAAACAATATCAAGTCATGTTTTTTTTTTGATAATTGAAAGGTTTTTTTTGTGTGCTATATCATGAGACAATGAAACAGTTATGAAATTAAATGTATAACAACCATATCCAGTATTTGGCATAGGGGCAAAATGGATTTAGAGTGTGATTGTTTTTAATACAATTTCCTACTGAGTCCACTAACTTTATGTGAAATACCCTCTAGCAAGGCCTCTGTAGTTATTATAAAAATCTAAAAAATAATGATTTTTCTATTTAAAAAAATATGCTACGTGCACACAGTTACACAAGGAGGCTCGGGTTGCATTTTATATTCAGTGTATCAGTCTGTCTAATAGATCTGATACTTTAAGGTTCATATTCAATGAATATATTCATTGAAAATAACTGCAAAAAGAAAATCTTGTAGTTCAGGAACTAGTTACACTTTCTGCCTCCTGTTCCTTTCCTCCCGGAGGAACTTTAGCTTTTAGATTTTATTAATATTATATGTACCTCTACTAGCATAAGTCAGAATAATCCTGTGTAAACAGATTATTTTAGACACTTAAGGCAATATTTTCGCCAGCTGGCAGGGGTTCGTTAAAATATGCTAGGCATGAAATGCTAGCACTTAATTTATGTTTTAACACACTGAGCTAGGATTCAATTTACAGGAACCTCAAAGGCAAACAGGGAGAAAGCATATGCCCAGATCACTGGTAGATGTATTTGGACAGGTCTACGCTGACACTACATGCGAAAGATCATGTTTTTAAACCCCCTAATGTATATTTGGAGACATCATCTATACATTATTCATGTAAGGCTCAATTTCACTGCCGTTGTGCAGTATGAGGAACCTGTCTGCTTGTGATTCGTGGGAGTTAAGCTCCTGGATGTCAGTTACTGCTATTTTAATTCATATTTCTGCACGTGAGTAAGGAAACAAGAAATCTTAAATCTTATATCCGATGCTGTTCTAAAACTAAGGAAACGCTCGAACTAACCCTGACACTAACCCTGGTTCAAACAATAAACACTAACCCTAGCCTATATCCTAATCATAAAAGGAATGCTAACACTAATCTTAGACCTAACTCTTAACTAAACACTAACACACTGATCGCATATATAATTATTATTTTCTATAACCAAGTCAGATACTGTGATGGTCAGAAGTGATTCCTTTGCAGTGCCTCCCTTTATCACTATATAAGAAATTGCAGAATCTGCCACTTCACACAAATGTCAAATAGAACAGCAGGTTAAGAATATAGAAAGGAAACAAAGCATTATTGAAGAGTTTTCAGTGAGAGCGGCCTGGTTTTTTTTTATATGACCCTCCTACAAAAGTGAACATCCACCTATTTCTGTCAACGAGAGTCCCCAGTCTATCTTTACCAAGGCCTGCAATCCGTATCAATCGCAGCAAATAGGACCTGCAAACTATCTAAATTGGGCAATGGCGCAACAAAAACTGAAGAAGGGCACTAACAAAGCAGAAAAAAATAACTTCTTTGGCAACAAACAACAACCGGAGAGCGGAGACGCTCAGAGGCCCCCACAAGATGGCGACATCAGCCCGGAGTATCAAACAGCAACTCAGGACGCTGAACAAACCATATCAGACAATATACTCACCAAGAGCCACTTGCAGGCAGCGCTCGATCGCTTGTCACAGACACTCATCATGTCCTGGCAGCATTCCATAAACGCCTTGAGGAAAGATGTACAAGAAGTCAGTAAGAGAACGTCCCATGTAGAGTCCAAAATGGACGAATTTGCTAATGCCCACAATGGTCTGGCAACTCATGTCGAACAACTGGAGCAAAAATTGTCAACAACTGAAATTAAACTAGCGGACCTGGAGGATCGCTCCAGAAGAAATAATTTAAGACTGAGAGGGATATCGGAATTGGTACCGCTAGAAGATCTACAAATGTATGTCAGAGGTTTGATGAAAGCGTACGCTTCCCAGCATCCCAGCACGCTACCACAAGATCCATATTAGCATACGGAATGCCTTTAATACTTCAGAAATATCCTCCAACTAACAGCTTACACCGAGGGACTGAGAACTCATCAAAGCGCATAAAGAGGTATCTACCAGCAACTGGCACTTGAATCACTGGTAATAATTCTCATTCAGGCATTTGGACTGCCGTGAGTGTCTCCTCGAGGCAGCCTTCTTACAGCATAAAAAAAAGTTGTGACTGAGAACTCACCAGAACTACTGGGAACGGACGCCGATTACGAGACATCAATGCAGCAGAAACTGTACCTGAGTAGCAACACCGACCAAAAAGGGATAATCTTCTCCACCTCTAATGGAAAAGTCTCTGCAACACGAACTGGGTCAGTACAGTAAACTGCCACAGGACTCTACTGGCTGAACGGGGAAGGTTCAGGTATCATCCACACACATACCTACACACACATAGCACACCTTGACCGTCATAAGTAAAGACAATAGAATATAATTAAAAAAACAAAAACGCAGCTACAAACAACTTAATGATCCAGCTTGGACATAAGAAGGGAATATATTTCATAGAGCTTAGGATGCAATATTACACATAACGGGTAAACAGTTTGCATACTATATTGAATGTGGAAGGATATCTTGAAACTACCAAAGGAGTTGGAGAGATACAGATACAACTGAGCAATGTGTGGAAAATGTAATAGGCACTGGGAATGTTTTTATGTACATATGTTTCTATGATTACTTGTTCATGTATTTATATGTGATTTACACTTCTTTACAGCCTGCTACAGACACCCCATAGCGGGAACATAACACACACAGGTCCTAAAAAAGTTTGTACTGTGTCATTAAGGCCACCCATACGGATATATATTTTTATATCCACCCCCCATGACTCCACTGCAGGGCGCCATGACCCCAATAGGGGTACGTTGTATATACCCAAGTCACCCCCCCTCCTTATCACAAGTTCTCCTACCCCCCCAACAACTTCCCGATAGCAGCAATATTCCCACCTCTAAACACCCACCGTATAAATCAAGGATCAAACAGGGAACAACCCTGGTCAAACAAATCGAGAAAATAACAGAAAAGCAGAGATACCTAAGTAAGATCTGTAATAAAGCCCTGGGTCTAAGAGGGTCTAAGAGCTCTAAATACCCCACTAAATACCCCACATAAACAAAGGGTTCTCTTGGAGTCCATGAAAAGAGAATGTATAGATATAATGTGCTTGCAGGAGACCCACTTCAAACACAACAAAATCCCAGGATTTGGATCCATAGACTACCCCACGCAGTACCATGTGACACTCTCATCCAAATTGAGGGGAGTGTCCTTTCTTCTCCACAAATACCTTACAAGTTAAAAAAGATCCACAGGGCACATACAGATGCAAACTAGGACTTCAAACAAAATGCAACAACACTAGGATGGAAAACTGAAATGTGCATGTGTATGTATAGAAATCTCCACCTGAAATACAACACTGTAACTGTATTTTGATGCATCTTCTGTGAATGTGCCTTGTAAAATGCAAATAAAAAAAAAATAAATTGATTTGTCTTCCTTAAATTAGGCCAGTAAATATGTAGTAGCATTACTTCCAGAGTTATTGATAATTTGACGTCAGACAGTTTAAATATAATGTTTTGAACCCACTGCCATACGACTGACACTTTTTCACATGTCCACCACATATGAACATGGCTACCCTTCTCCGCTCTACAATTTCAACAATCCTCACTAGATCCATCAGAGAATTTCAATAATCTTGATGGAGTCCTATACCATAGATTGATTTTGATTGGTTTTATAGGAAGAGGATAACCATTCCTTTTCGTCTATTTTTCCTGTTTTTTTTATTCCATCATGATGATGCTTACCACGATGGACCTCTGCTACCATGACCTCTGCTTCTCGGTGGCGTTCTGGTGTAAATGTGAAACTAACCTAAGCAGTTGCGCACACATGCTGAAAGCATTATTGGAGAGATAATGCCTTATCACCCATTGTCCTAATTTTGTTTTTGTTCTCTTGTTCTCCTATTTTTTTCTCACAATTAACTATATATTGCTAGTAAATTATTTATCTATGTCTAATTTGGTTCTGTGCCAACTCTTCCTATTATTTTAAGTCTGACGGCCGGTTATATCCCACTCACTCCTCTCATTGAGCCATTGGTTTTCATGAATGAAACTTTAGTTAAATGCTTAATTTAATATTTCACAGATTTCCATTGGCAGAGGGTTAGCAGTACCAGCTTTTTCAGGTCGATGTTCCTGTAAATAACCCATGGATGGATCTTGACTAGTGATGTCCCGAACGGTTCGCCGAACGGTTGGCGAACGGTTTGCCACGAACGGTTCGCCACGGACTCATCATTTTGTAAACTTTGACCCTGTACCTCACAGTCAGCAGACACATTCCAGCCAATCAGCAGCAGACCCTCCCTCCCAGACCCTCCCACCTCCTGGACAGCTCACTAAGAATGCAGCTTCAAAATGGATGCTGTCCAGGAGGTGGGAGTGTCTGGGAGGGAGGGTCTGCTGCTGATTGGCTGGAATGTGTCTGCTGACTGTGAGGTACAGGGTCAAAGTTTACTCAATGATGAGTCCGTGGGAAACCGTTCGTGGTGAAACGTTCGCGAACCGTTCGGCACATCACTAATCTTGACTATAAAAAGTTTATTTTTTTTTCAAAATGCAGTTTTCTTTTAATGTCACTAATCCCTGCCAATCACTTGCTCTAGAAATCCTGCAGAACAAGAGGTGTTTGATGTATTTAGTGACTTAGGGGAGGAAATCTTTTGTGAACTGGCTTTTTATCAACTGTGGCTCCTGCTACCTCTATCTCTTTAACAGTCCAGCATCACTTGAACAGCAGGTAACAGCGTGGTAACTGTCCTTGCTACCCTACTACATTCACCCCTTTCTGTGCCTCAGCTTCACCTTGCTCCTTGCTAGGAAGAATAGAGGGGGAGTATGCAAGAGAGTCCTGAGGGGAGAGAATTTCAAAGGTTGCGATTAGCAGGAGAATGTGGTTCAGAGTTGTTAAAACTCTAAGATGGGTCCAGATAGATTAGGCTGACAGATGGAAGAGATTGACATAGGGTATGCATACAAACTGCTATTGTCCTTCCTGCTCTAAAAGAGATTCAATTTGTATATGCAGATGGTAATTATTGATACTTAATACTAATTCACATTTTTTTTTTATCACAGAAAAATCTAAACATAACAGTACAGATGGTAAGAAAATGTAAAACAAGGATCGGAGCCAAGGGTAGGAAGGATAGTACAAGGGACTATAATGAGCATGTATGTTTCTAGAAAGAAATGCACTAATGCAGGCTGATTGTCTATGTTCTCTACAAGAAAATACATGTGCCTAATTGGAAATCAACTGGCTTCTAATTTGCATTCATTATGTTTGCATGTAATTGTGCAAGCTACTGCATGTTTTATGGCAACAACACTCCCATATTTCACTGACATGCCACCCCCTCCCCCCATCCCAGTGGTTGGTGAATCACTAACACAGCCCATAGCTACTCCATGGTTTCACATACTGATTTTACAGGAATACAAAAGATATGGTCTTTTCCTTAATATTTCTGATAAGTGAGATAGCTAAGAAATAACATAGGTTGGGAGGATACAGTATCCAAACTGAGAATGTCTCACCAAATTATATGAATAAAACACTCATGTTTTTCAAGTTCAAAATGGCTGCTGTATGAGTAAAAATGTGTCATATAATTGGTCATATAAGTTCGCTAGTGAATTTAAAGCAAGTTTATGCAAAAAAATGAAATTTAACAGTTTATCTGCTGGGACAGCTTGCTTTTGATTTTAGTATCATCTAAATGATTAACAGTGGTAGAGGATAAAGCCTTTGACAAGTCTATAATTTGCAATGCAGATCATGAATAGCTTTGGAACATTGACAAGTTGCACAATGTTTACAACCTCTATATTAGCTCAAAGTGCTTGTGCCAGTAAAATCCAGAGATCTTAACAAGGCAAACATACTTACACTGTACACACAATACACCGAACATGAGAATACATCTAAACTTCATGGAATTAAAGGGAGTGATTTTTGTGCAATCAAAAAAATAAGCAACATTGTGCTTTGCAAGGAATAGAATGTTATCTCTGGTTCGCCAATAGAATCCATATTGAATAGATACTGTGTGATTTCGCCATAATGCTCTATATATAACTCAATTATTTTGTCCTAAATATTTTAATTTGGTTTTCTGGTCTGCACAACGCACAATGTAATAAAAAAAAGCCCTTATAAGTATTATTCTTATTATCATTTAAAGGATGGAAAACAATACACAACATCGATACTGTATTGTATCTACTGACAAGGAGAATGGAATAATGGACTCAAGTTTACACTATAACCGGCCTCTCACTCATCTCTATCGTATCAGTATATAATACTCATATACATATTGTTGGGAATAATACACTTTACCTATATACAATGCCTAGTGACCCAAGGCTCAAGCAACAGATGACCGGATGCCCAGTCTGTTTAAAATTGGCTAACTTTGAGAATGTCAGATATTGGTAATAATACTTTGTCTATAAACAATGCTTAGTGAATATACCCCTAGACAGAGCTATAATCTTTCCTGCCTCAGAGCGTTGGTCTTATTTCCTGTTTTCTATTTCTGTAATTCTAACTGCATAGTAACATATCTATTTTGAGTGTGTAGTAACTTT